GCTAGCGGGGTTTACCCCAACCAGGAATCTCCCACCAGCGGGGCACCGCCTCAGCTGAGGCAAGCCCTAGGCTCCCGCCCGATCTCCCGCTATGTGTGGTAGTGAATGTTAGTGTATTTGAGGATGAGGATAGGACAAGGAAGAGGTAGGAAAGGTAGTGCACGATCCGTTTGTTAGGGTTCAGTTCCAGCAATCTCCTGATGTTGATCAGAGAATACGGAAAACTACCTATCAAAGCAGCCGGCCTCTATAATTCTCCTCCAGGCAGCAATTGGACTCGATCTAGCTGAGAAGCCAGTTTCGAAAATCCTGCCACCGTCGGGACTCGAACAAGGAAGGGTCAGAGGGACTGCGATGACAACAGTTGATGCCCTGAGTCTCTCTCCCGGTATGTTACGTGTAATTGGTCAGTCTCCGTTCAATGGTTGGTGAGTCCCCTAATTTTGATTATTCTCTCCATGCATCCTTCTAGTTCGTTACCGACCACTTGCGCTTCGTGAATCTCCAAGTTTTTTTTTTTGGCAGCTGCGCAGATGGAAGGGTGGGGTTCCTCGCTCCCCAGGGGTACGAGACACTTGAGCGGCGCAAGAAGTGGAAAGTTTTAGGGCAGAGTCGCTAAGGCAATGATCTGCATCGCAACCTGTCACAATACGCATCAACACAGGCGCCCACCGCACGAACCGCTTCGAATACCTGTGACTGAGATTGGAGGCCCATCTCAGAGCCGTAGGCGAGGTACACTATGTGATCAAAAGTACACGAACACGTCCAAAATGCTGTAATGGTGTGGTTGTGTTTTTCATGGAGAGGGCTTGCACCCCTTGTTGTTTTTGCGTGTCACTATCACCACACAGGCCTTCGTTGATGTTTTAAACATCTTCTTGCTTCCCACTGTTGAAGAGCAGTTCGGTGATGGTGATTGCCTCTTTCAACACGATCGAGCACCTATTATAATGCACAATCTGTGGCGGAGTGTTCACTCGACAATAACATCTTTGTAATGGACTGGCCTGCACCGAGTCCTGACTTAAATCCTATCGAACACCTTTAGGATGTTTTGGAAAGCCGACTTCGTGCCAGGCCTCACCGACCTACATCGATACCTCTCCTCAGTGTAGCACTCCGTGAAGAATGGGCTGCCATTCCCCTAACAAACCTTCCAGCACCTGATTGGAAGAATGACTGCGAGAGTGGAAGCTTTCAAGAAGGTTAAGGGTGGGTCAACGCCCTATTGAATTCCAGCATTCATTACCGATGGAGGGCGCCGCGAACTGGTAAGCCATTTTCAGCCACGTGTCCGGATACTTTTGATCACATAGTGTATATGTACATACCCATTTCCGTGGTTTCACACACCCATTATTTTTCCTGCCCTGACATTATTCACATGAGCCAGATGTTTCGCGCTCACATGGCAATTTAGAGATATTTATAAAAACGGATACACGTTTTCGATGGAACATGAAAGTAATGGTGTGTTGATAGCGAGGATTGCTGGTGGGAAAGATTTTTGGGTAATATTATCTCTGGAAAACAATGTTTAAGTGAGATGATAGGAACTTCAGAAATAAATGAAAATATTAATTTGTCATATAATTTATGTACTTTAGATGAGTAATATACAAGTACATATAAAAAGTGCATTAATATTTTTCACTAGAAATGCAAACAAAGCAATTTTAAGGCAGGTCAATACAAATAACATATGTCATCAGAATTACATGTTTTCACTCGGGTAATCACTCAGTGCTTTCCATTATATTTCAACCTCGTACATTATCATACATTGGTACTAAGGATTTGCAATCACTTCACGAAAGACGTAATAAATATACAGAAGTGCAGTTCGCGTACATACCTTCAACTACAATCTGGCCTTTCAGTAGAACCATCCCAGCATTCGCCTGGATGAACGAGGGAAACTACGAAAATTCCTCTCAGGATGGCCAGTACGGGGACTGAATCCGGGCCTCCCGAATGGAATGTCGTCGCGCTATTCCCTGAGCCAGTTCGCTGGGTCTCCAGCTTAAAATACCACTTAATTGTTCAACTTCGCTAAAACAAAATTTCTCCCATTCAAGTTTCATGTATCCCGGTGACAACATCATCTAAATTGATGGTTCCTCCCAAAATAGCAAAGTATAATGTGATTTCTACTTCCACTTTCAAACCTTCATCGCACAGTTTTCGTATTATGTCATCGTGAAGCGTATATGTGACGTAGATATAAGCGTTATTGGAGGCACTAAATATCGCTCAATCGGCGTCATTTGAAGAAGTAGTGGTCTTCAGCAATTCAAATATGCTCTCGAATCCATCTCATGCTTCTCTCCCTGTGACGCGTCTCAATGAATATTTATCCTTAAATAATCTAAAGCTGCATCGTTATAATTTTTGTTGGGTCTCTGGCCTTGCGGACAGGAAATAGAATAGCTAATAACAGGAAATTAAATGCCCAGGCAGAAAAGTTGTCACGAGAAAACCAGAGGTAGACATCTCCAAAGTGCCTGCATTCATTTAATTCAAAGCTGTTGATCAAACGTTCCATTCTCAGAAAATGACAAATAGTGGCAGAGATCGTATTTTAAGCTCACGAGGTTGAAGTACTATAATTTCTTGCTTCTTCATCAGGTGGTGTTAGGTACGATGAGATAATTCTTTATTTAAATTTCTTTTTATCGGATCGACCCAGAAGCTATGCAAAAGTGAGGTTCAGAAGTGCATTAATGTGTTGCAAACTTTCTCAAATTATTTCGGGTACTCTTACTCAGCAAGTACAGCATATTATTTTTTTTAGTTTAAGTTAATGAATGTGGGTTTAAAATTAGAGGAAAGGGAATGGAAGGGTTCATTAGAGTTTGGGAGTTCTTTGTGTTTTGTTTTAAGGAGGTTTGTAGATGTCCTTCGGGAATCTTGACTTGATTTTGATTGAGGTGTTTGCTTGTTGTCGTAATTCAAAACGGGCTGCACTTGGACAGGATAGTAAGTGAAAAGGTTTGAGGATAAATTGGTGAGATAACCTGTAATTAGATGAATTTGAAGGTCATATTGAATTTGACTATTTGGGAATAAACCATAGTGCATTGAGACGTCTTCAGAGAAATTCGTTTTACAAGGATTATACAGTGTTAATATTGCTCGGTTTAACATTATATTTATACAATACGTAGATACAATCCGAACTTATGTTGGACAGGCATAAGCCAATATGGGTCTGATGATGCTTTTGTAGAGAAGTAATTTGGTTTCAACTTTTAAAGAGGATGCCGAATTTATGAGTAGATACAGTTTGATAGCTTTTGCTGATACTTTTCGTAGAACAGGCTTAATGTGTTGCTTCCATGTTAAACGTATGTCTATTAGAACTACCAGGTATTTGATAGGCGTAGAATAAGGTAATTCTTACCTCTTCAGATCGGTCACTGCCACTTTTCCCACGGATATCTTCTTCGCGGTGATTCATCCCTCACTTACGATAATTGCAGGATATATCTTACTGTGGAACGTGCGTTCGTGAACTGCGTTGTGATAAGAATCAGCCACCAAACGCATTACCTTGTTGAACTTCTAGGAGAGATGTGTGGTAATGACGAATCCCCTCTCTGTGGTTCAACTTTGTTGGTGAAAATTGAATGAAGAGTCTAGTCTGGGAGTGGAGAGTAACGCGAAAGAAGCCTGAACTGTGCTGCAGCGTCGTCTGAGAGAAATATATCAAATAGCTCGAGCACAGATGCTCGTTTTAACAGCAGCACAGATTTTCAAATTTCTTCGAATTTATCCCATTGTATGATTTAGAATATATTTTTATTGAAGGAACGTAATAAATGTTAACTTAGAAATAACTAACGCACTTGTATACTTTAAGAAGTTTTAATAGCTGATTATGGTATAAAAAATTGAACGCTCATTTGAAATGTAATCAAGGTAGGCTTGTGTGAAATTATTCTTGCTTTTCTGTATTATGAACTGTAAATACTGTAACATTTAAATTTATTCATGTTCGTTTCATTCCTGAAAGGAAGAAATGATCACTCTTCCTGACAATGAAAATAAATGCAGATAAGCGCGACAGGTAATTCGTTTGAATTAGACTTTTTCAAGTTATAACTGAGCTTTCAGTATGCCAGAAATTCCAATAGTTTAATATTTCGTTACTATTTTCAGTCATGCGAGAAAGTATGTGCTGTCAATGGCGTAACGTAATGCAGGCGGGCCCGGGTAAAAGGGGGTCTATTTTTAGGGGATATTTATTTTTTTAAATTTAAGGTACTAACACTACTTATATTTGATATACACTTTTATAAAGGGGACCCGGGCAAAAGTTTTACTGATGGGACCGCACTCATTTCGTTACGCTGCTGTAGTACCTCTAGTTTGGTTATATAATTTATTATATGAGGGAGGGTGGCGATGTCGCAAGATGTACGTAATTATTTGGGGAGATTCAAGATCGCCTTACGACCTGTGCGTACAGGCGGAGGGGTGTACTCAAAATACTATCCATTTACGTTACTAAGTAATTTTTGGGCGGTTCCACATATATAAATATGACATAAAATTTTTTTTGTCAAAATAACCTTACTCCTCGATCCTTTCGCTATTAGCGAAACGAGGGCTGAAGAAAACGTGCGCGGATAATACTACACCATACATATCTACTAAATGCCAAACGTTCATATTATTCTTGTTCAAAATCTATTTATTTTCAACACTCACTCCTCAAAATTCAAACTGTAAGTCAATACACGTTCATGGACAACAGTTTAAGAAGGGAAATTATTTTTCTGAAAGCATGAATTAAAAATGAAATTTAACTTAAAAAAAATAATGCAACATTATTGTTATTGAACTATTATTATTATTATTATTATTATTATTATTATTATTATTATTATTATTATTATTATTATTGATTTTTAAATTATGATAATTTACGACAATAGAAAAAAATAGTAGTACAACCGACGTATATAGCAGGGCAGCTTGTAATGACGCTGTAAATCTACTGTAGATTTTAGTTTGAGAGAGTTCTGTTCAGCAAAATGTTGGCACAATTTAGTGTCTTTTTTGTTATGTTGGCTATGTGTGGTGTTTACAAATGGAGACGATGGGTGTAACGCGTGAAACTAAAGTGACAGTGCTTTACTTGTTTTCTAATGTTGTTTGTTCTATTGTTATTGTTCTTTTAAATAAATGGGTGTATGTGCACGTTGGTTTTCCAAATGTTACTCTTAGCATGTTACATTTCGCCGTCACATTTGTTGGATTATATTTTTGTCAGAGATGGAACATGTTTCAAGTGAAATCTGTAGGCTTAAAAGATATGTTACCGTTGTCGTTGACGTTTTGTGGATTTGTTGTTTTCACAAACCTTAGTCTGCAACATAATACAGTGGGAACTTTTCAATTAGCAAAATTCATGACGACACCCTGTATTATATTGATACAAATGTTTGTTTATAATAAACAATTTTCACTTTTAGTGAAATTAACTCTGGTAAGTATTTCTTCCTAATTAAAATACATTGTAGATATTTTAAATTGTCCATGTTATAAAAAAATTTTTTTTTTTTTCTAGATTCCTATAGTTCTGGGAGTGTTCTTAAACTTTTGTTATGACCTTCAGTTTAGTGTCATAGGAACATTGTATGCTGCTCTGGGTGTCTTAGTTACATCATTTTATCAAGTGGTATGAAATGATGATTTATTTTGTGTTTTTATGTCATTAAATTATTGAATTAATTCAAAAGAATTTGATTTTGTACAGTTGGTGAGCACAAAGCAGCATGAATTGCAAATGGATTCAATGCAACTTCTTTACTACCAGGCTCCTCTTTCTGCCTTCATCCTCTTACTAGTGGTTCCAGTTCTTGAACCAGTGCAAGCGACTCTCATTCATGATTGGACTGTAACAGATTTGGTACATTTCCTAGCATTTATGTGTATTTTCAAGTTATTGATTATCTGTTATATTAATTTGTTACATTTATTTTTCAGTTGATGGTGTCAGCTTCATGCGTCATAGCATTTTTTGTAAATATTTCAATATACTGGATTATTGGAAATACATCACCTTTAACGTATCCTTCAGTAAAACAGTTGGGTTGCAGCTTTAATGTCCATTGCTTTGAAAACGTTATTTTTGTTTGCACTCTTTAACTTCTTGAAATGCCTTTTTTCTCAATACTTCTTTTCCATAGAGTGTGTATGAATAATGAAAAATGAGAAACAAATCAGTAATTGTGTGTGTGATATTGATATTAATGTAGGATAACTTGTAATGTTGGGATATTTGGAGACAATTCATTCATTCTTTCTTTACAACAGAAAATTTTATTCCAGATCAAATTAGACTAAAAGTTCAGATAGATCATTGTGGGTCTTATTTGCATCATCAGGTAGTTTGAAATTATATTCACATATGTGACAAGTAAAATTGTGTAGTTTATTAAAATAAAAATAAAAAGCTTAAGAAAATGTGAGATTTAAGAATTAGGAATCAAAATGATATCAGAATACAGAGTACTCTTATACTCAAAGATAAAATGCAATTTCTTTAAGTCAAAATTTGATTATAAAAAAAGTCAAGAATCATATATTTATAAGCATAAGTATAAAACATAAGTCTAACCTCTGACAAAAAAGTAAAAATTCTTGTACGATAAACATTCATATTAAACCAAAATGCATCAATTAGATTTTGTGTCTTTTAAAAACAAAAGCTATGTTGGAGTCATGTCAATAAGTTGACCTGTGGAGGAATGAAATGGTCTAATGAATGGCCATGAGATAAAACATGGAGAGGGGGGAGATTCCTAGGAGGAGGATGATCCCAACAAAACCAAGAGAAGAAAGAAGATCCACACTAGACATTGTATTTAACATTTGCTGGAATGTAATTGAATTTTGGACAACACATGATTATATGCGTAACTGAAAATTGTGAATTCCGCTTTCCTATTAACAATCTGGTGTATTTTAATATTTAAAAAATCTCTAATCATACAAGGCTATTTCCTAGGATATGTATCCAAAATTCAAGGGCTTTGGAAATCAAAACTACGTAATGTATTCAACTTGTGGTGGGAAACAGAATTTAACTTCCATGAATAATTACCTATTACATTTTTTTTCTGAATTTATTTGTTTTGGGAATGTAAATAATCGAAAGAGCTTCAAAGTCCTGATTTTTTCTGGGAGAACTTTGAAATATTATTCTGTCCCTCTCATCCTACTGATGGTAATCACAGTTGATCAGACTATTAAATGGTCTGAACTTTTTAATTACAGATCCTATATTCCCATTTAAATACAAAAAAAAAATATTCTTTGGAGTTCACTAATAAATTCATAAAAAAGAGACTAGCCATGATCAATCAAGTAAATTTAAGAACTTTGAATAAACAATTGTTAAAAATCTTGAATGAAGGCTATAAGGAATGACTTAAAACTATTTCAATTTCTTATATTCCAAAGATGATGAATAAAATTAGAAAATAATGTAATAGATCAAACATTCATATTAAAATAGGAAAAATGTTGATTAACAAAAAAGAACTGATCACAAATGTTAAAGATTCTGTTTCCCTTTCAGAACAAAAAGAAAAAAAACAACCTTGGTTCGTTGTCTTTGTATATAGTCCAAATCCAAAGGCACATCAAGCAGTAAATGAAGGAACATGTCAAAAGTAAATTTTATTTCCCACCACAGGCTGTATGTGTGACATAATTTTGATGTCAAACATTCTTGGATTTTGGGTATGGAAGCTAGGATATATATTCTCGTTTGATTTCAGAGACTACAGACAAAATACATCAGATTGTTGATACAAATGAGGAATCCATTATTTTCCCTAATGCATATGATAATGTGGTGTCAAAAATTAAATGACATTCCAGCGAACATTAAATCTAATGTCTATTGTGGAACTCTTTTTCCTCATCCTCCTTCCTCTTCCTTTGGCTTATTTTTGTTTGTCTCCCTTCCCTCTCCCTTTTCTTTGTTCTTTTGTGTCCCTCCCCCTATGCAGCTCTCCTTCATTGTTTTACATCATAGCCCTTCATTTGGCTATCTGATTTCAAAAGAGGAGGTCAACCTATTGGCTTATAAATTGAGTCTATACTTTTTGTTTTTCAAGAAAGTAGAATAACCATACCATTGAAGAACACAAAAATAATGGTAAAGAATTGTCAAAGGTAATTGAGAGGAGGTAAAAACCGTGATATTATGACAAAAGATAATATATTTGATAAAATTCATAAAAAAAAATATAACTAATAAATTCAATAACTATTTTGTAAGTAGTATTAAAAGAATAGTAGAAATTACAGACATAGGAAATCAAAATATTTACTAGCAAGATGAAAGGTGGTGTGACAGTGAATTTAATAAATTTGATTTGATCAGAAATGAAGAATTGAGTAGAGTTATCTATGGATTACCAAACAAATGTTTAATTTGAACTTTGAGTCCAATTTCATGAGGATTACAATTTTCCTTTGTAAAGAAACAGTGAATTATTTGTCTAAATATTCCAAGGATTCCACATCCTACAGCAAAACAAAGTTTTGCATCAAAACTTTATTACATAAAGTTCCTTGACAGTATTTAGATACAATATGGTTGGCCATTTAAAATTTTGCATGACTGTGCTGGGTGGTGTGTTAATATTTGAGGATACTTTGCATATTAATCAAGGAATTGGAGTTCTGCTGACTGTGATGGGCATCACTGCATATGCTCATGTCAAGGTTTGTGGTATTTATTGGCTAATTATGTATGGAATGTAAGAATTAGATGTGGAAAAAGATATGTAAGGGTAATTATATTTATTTCCACCTTTTAGTTGATATTTTATTCAATTATGTGAATTATGTGTTTGTGAAGAGTTGGGGTCCATATTTATAGACAGACACATTTTTGTAACCTTGATTTATTTCATAATATTTCTGTTCAACGGTTTCATGGAATGTTGTCCCCATCATCTAATTATACTAATTAGATTATTATACTTCTATAATCAGTTAAAGATACTTCTATAAATCTGACTTTGACATTCAAACACCTCTGGGTGATTTGCAGTTATGAAGGCGAGGGGAGAAGGAAATCAATAAAGCTCTCCATGTGCTGGAGAGGACGACGTTTATCATTTTTTGAAATAATCATAATGCAGGGTGTAACACTTGGAGCATGTTCGTTTGAAAAATCTCATCATGAAATACACAGTGTATTTCAAATTGTTTAATGTCATTGGGACTGCTAAAATTTGGAGAAAAATCTTGGGAATATTACATGATGAACTAATATCATTTACCATGAGTAATTTGTTCGCTTTGACAGTGAGAATGAAAGGCGACATAGACTAAATCATTACTCTATGGTGAGTAGCGTAGAGGGGGAGCCATTGAGTTCCCTTAGAAACATACAGAATTTAAAAAAATATAAAATAAAATAATAAGAAATGCTCCAAAATGTAATATTTGCAATAACAATTAATAAATTTTGAAATCATAATTCTTACTTTATGTTTTCTCCAAATTCAAACTACTTCTATTTCTACATAATTTATTTGCAGTGTAAGTTCAGCTTATCTGGGCCATGTAGACATCTTCATTTTTTTATTCTATTCATCATAAGACTTGAAACAAAGTAAAATATTTTATTTTTAGGAATAGAAAATGATTAGGTGAAATTTAATTTAAGAGAATTGGTTGTCATTACGTAATTATTTTTTTTTTTAATTTATTCATCAGTTTACATAGATTTATACTCCAAGAATGAAATTACTTGTTTATGATGACTGAAGTACAACACACATAATTGTGTAGATTTGGAGTGTAAATTTCTTCAAAGAAATGAAAATACTGTGTTGGTAGTGCCTGATGTGGTTGCACACTGACTTTTCTCAGTGATCAATTTTAAAGTAAATAAGGGTTGAACTTCATCCAGTTTGAATTTGATGTTGAAATCACCTCTCATAATAATTGATATTTGGACCATATCTTTTTAACTTTCTTGCATACTACTTCATTTAGACAAAACATTGTAATGTTGCGGCAAAAAACGGTGATTTTTTGATAGATGTTCAAATTTTTCTCAAAAATGGCGCAAAATTTGGCCTTTAAACTTTTTCCTCTGATGGAGCAAAAGACGCTTAAAAATGGCATAGATCTCATTTTCGTTAAACTCCTTAAATTTCCAAAAATTGATAAGTTAAAATTTCTCTGGCGTTCCTGCAACTATAATATTGAAAATATTGAATGTAGACCTTTTAACTAATAAGATGTTCTTCAAAGTTGAATATTTAATTAATTACATTTTTTCAAAATTCTGAGTAGTTTTCCCCGCAGTTTTGGGTGATATGTGAGCTAAATGTCAGAATAACGCTAGTAGTTAAACCAAACCCCATGTACGATTTTCACCAAAATTATTCCCTAGACGTGGCTGATGCTGCAGTGTTTGAAAAAGATATCTTCATTTTGAGGAGTAGTACTTTACATGACACTTGAAGGACATTATTCAAATTCTTCTCAAAAAAATATTATTATTTTTATATAAAAAAATAATATAAAAAAGTTATTATTTTCTTTTATTACATAGAGAAAAATGCGCTTATAAAATGGCGCAGAACCAATTTTTGTTAAATTTTCGAAAATTGCAAACTAGTATATTATATTTTTCTTCTGAATGAAAATTATTCTGTTAGATCTTTAGATGAGTAAAACTTTTACAAAATATGAAGAGTTTCTGCGTAATTTTCTTTAGCATTTTTACAAACAAGATTTTCTCAAAAACTGTTCCCAATATTGTCGTATAACTTTTCGTGTGGTTTGTGTACTAAATGCACTTAATAACATTCATACACGTCATTGTGATGTATTCTGTTGAGTATTCAACCATTAGACACATGTTATTTTAACTTTCTCGCATAGTACCTCTTACGAAGTTCAGAGAAAATATTAAAATGCTATGGGGGTGCCGGTGGGGGGAGAGGGGCGAAATTTCGACATGAATACTCATATTATATGGCCCTGAAACAGTAAAAGTGGATGTATTGTTCCGATACTGAAAATTAATATTGTGGTCACAGAAATTCTTGGAAATACTTAGCGGCTAACCCATAAGTAGGAATTTCATTAAAATTGATATTCCCACGATCAATTCGTCTTGTTTTGACCCCGTTGAATCTGAAATGGATATTTTGATTTTGAGTTGTATTGTACATCAAGCCTTAACAATATTTACTTAAAAATAGCTCGAATTTTTGTATTAAACGTTGTTGTCGGATAGCAAAAAAGGGGCCCTTAAAAGAATGTCACAGATTGTATTTTTGCTAAACAGCTCTGATTTTTTTGAAAATTACAAAAGTTCAAGATTTTTTCGGCGTCTTCCTACACTTACTGTGTCAAATGCATATATGCAATGACATGTGCGCATATATTAAAGGTAGTGATTTTTTCGTTATAAACGTCTGATCTTTTAATAAGCTCAGGTATAATTTTTTTATACATCTGATCAGTTTTCGCGTTATTTTGATTGGAATATAAACAATTTAAACAAAATATTTTCTCAAAGACGGCTTCCATTTTTTCTTTATTATTATTATTATTATTATTATTATTATTATTATTATTATTATTATTATTATCTTGAATAGTATTAAGTATGCTTTCAAAATGCTGCTAGACCCATTTTTGGTAAACTGTATTTTCAAAAATTGCAAAAATACAATATTGGTAATTAGATATTTTTTACGTAATGAAATCTCTTCTTAAAATTATATCTTGAAATAATGTTAATACAATTTTTTTTAAAATGTGAGTCACTTCGCGTAATTTTTGCAAATCAAAAATGCAAATTCCGATTTCTCCTCACTTTATTTCCTGTTTCACGAGATAGCAGATTGCAATACAACAATGGCAATACCGCGACACGGCAATTTGAAATTCTGAAAAATCCTTCTCATTGTTGCGCGATGTTTATGGCTGTATGAAACGCTGATTTCTATTGTCGAATTTGTGTTGATGTTGTTCTTAAAGAACTACGTTTTGCACATAATTCTCTATGACTTGGAGTGAGTTTTACTAGTGATGGATAAGTTGTATTAATACAGACAGAAATTCCAGTATTGTAATCGTTACTATTGCGAGAAAGTATGTGCTTTCATAAAACCATTCGTTTTTATATCTTGCATTGTTAATAAGTACAGTAAACGCGTTATAATACTTATTCTACTTCTGAGTAGTGCTTCAAATAATGTTTTGCTAATTTCGTGAAATCTCCATATTTTTTATGAAAATGAAATCAACATTGATATTTTTTAATTAACTATCTCAAACATTTTCTCAAAAACAGAACTATTTTTTTAATGAAATGTGCATATAGAATCATATTGTACTTTTCAATAATATTTTTAATTCGCATTTCAATTCTACAATATTAGCTCATCGAAAAATTGGAAAACACTTGGGGGAAAATGTACACATATTACGGCAGAGGGTGGGACAAAACTAACTAGTAGTGCTACAGAATGGAACAGAATTTCCCGTGTTAGTTTTCTATTTCCTTTGGTCACGGCTAGCTATTCGAACATGACACATACTCTTACCACCTGCTATCAATTGCTGCCCAAAGTACTTTTTAAAATATTTTTTTTCTTAATTTTTCGCTTTCCTAATAGTAGAATGGAAATATTATTTTAAGAACATTAATGAACTGTAAAAGCCCGTCATATACGGCATTTTTCTTTGAAAAATTTGAAGACTTTTTTAAGAAACTGACGTTTAAACGCTCCTGTAAATTCGAAATTTGAAGTTCTTTTTCACAGAAAATTTTTGCGTTTTCGAAAAACTTCATTAGAAGTCATTTGAAACACTTTACTCACAAGTACAATAATGTTTACAAATTGCTGAAAATGTGTATATTAACGGCGTGAGAGATCTTTCAAAAAATTGAATTTGTCTAATTTTTGAAAAAACAATACTCCGAAATGAACTCTGTCATATTAAAGAGTGCAATTAGCACTACCCGTTCTAAAAGTTCGTAAAAAAAATTTAGGGTTTTTGAGAAAATTGGGTTCGAGCGTTTCTGAAAATGCGGAATTTTGCGCTAGTTTCACAGAAAACGGTCGTTTTCAAGAAATTTTATCTGACATTTAAAGCACATGTACTCATAAGTGTAATAATGTGAATAAATCGCTGCTAATGTAAATATTAACGACGTGAGAGACAAGTAAAAAAATCATTTTTATACAAAAGAAACGAAACAAGAGAAGAACAGAACTTTGTTGTGTTTCTCTTCTTTTGTTTATGTCTTCTTATAGAGTATATTTAGCAGCCCTACCAAAAGTGTAAAATTGAATTGGAGCCGAATTTAGAATTTCTTGTAATTTCACACATTGCACGCAATATTACGCGAAAACTACCAACATTTTCAAAAAAAAGTACATAAACTTAATGAAAGAACTCACTATGAAGAACATGTTTTATTTGTAAGTAGTTATAGGAAGAGGCCCGGAAAATATCCAAATTTTCTAAAATTCAGAGTGAAATTGTGAAAATCTGTCTTATGACACCTTAAGTAGTGTATTTAACTCTGTTTCCTGTCTCCTTTAGTACTGTATTTTTACAAGAAATTTACAGAAAAAAATGGAAATGTCTGTGGGGCTTCGTATAGGTACGTCAAATTCGAAAGAAAGATTTTCAAAATCGCAGCGCCTCAAGTCGAGCCAGATCGACCGGGGAATATCCATTTTGGAAAAAATCCTATATACGTATGGTTTGGGCGATAGTGGTGTTCATAGATGGCCAGACAGACGGACGGACGTTTTGAAAAAACAACACTACTTTTTCGGTTCATTAAACCCCAAAATTATATTTCCTTTGAAATCTCGAAATCCATTTTCCGCAGCATTACAAAACTTTCCCTACACCAAGTATTACACCGTATATACGTATGTATACGGGATAGTAAAAAGCTAGCCCAGACTAAAGAGATAGATAACTAGTACGAGAAAGTTTGTGCCATTCTATATCACCACTAGTTATCAATGCTGCACATTGAATAGCATACCTGAACGAAAGACTTCATGAATAAATTCAAAGGATATATAAAATTTGAATTTTTGTTTCGCTCGTTCATCTGTTCGTCCGTCCGTCCGTCCGTCCATGTGTCCGTCCGTCCGTCTAGTGTCTGTGTCACTGCTAGCAACTAAACTATGCTTAGGATATTTTCCAAATTGAAGAAATCCCTATCCATCTGGTTCAAGTCAAAACTTTGAGATTTTGAAAAACATTCTTCAAAATTTTGGGATACTTTACATAAAGCCCTCCGGAGTTTTAAAAATTTGTACAAAAACGGCTCCAAATTTTTTCTTTAGAGTTCTTGTAAGAATAGAGTAACATACATGTATAAAAGTGGCATAGGTCAGATTTTCACGGTTAACTCTAAATTTTCGAAAATTGCAAAAGTATGATTTTTTTCGATGGCTTCCTACAAAATTAAAGATAGAGATTTTTCCATCAAATTAAATTTGTTCTTTGTAGTGAGTTCTTTCATTAAGACCATGTACATTTTTTTGAAAATTTTAGTAATCGCGCAATTTTCAATGCAAAATGTGGAATTTTTTAAAAAAATTAGAAAAACAAGATTTTCTCAAAAAGTCTCCAAATTATTTCTTCAAACTTTTGGTAGGGATAGTGCTAAATGTACTCTATAATATGAAATAAACGCCATATTGCTATATTATTTTGTTGTTTTTTCAAAACTTACAAAAATGTAATTTTTTGGCATGTCTCTAATGTCATTAATATTTATAATAACGGCAATTTATTCACATTATTGTATTTTTTAGTACCTGTGATTTAAATAATCTCATATAAAGTTCCTCAAAAACTATCGTTTTTGTGTCAACTAGCTCAAAACTCCGCATTTTCAGAAACGTCATTTTCTCAAAAACGGATCGAAGTTTTTTCTTCTAACCTTTTCAACAGATAGTACTAATTGCACTGTTTAAGATAACATAGAATTACTTTTACTGTATTCATTTGTTTTTTTCAAAAATTGCACAAATGATTTTTTTTGAAAGATCTCTCAGCCTTTAATATGCATATATCTAACGATTTGTAAACACTATTACATTTGTAACTAAGAATGCTTGAAATGACGTCAGACTAAGTTTTACGAAAACTCAATAGTTTTCTTTGAAAAGAGGTTCAAATCTCGAATTTACTGAAGCGGTTAAACGCAATTTTCTTAAAAACTTCTTCAAATTTTTCAAAGAAAATTGCCATTTCGTACAAGGTTTAATTGTTATTTAATATTCTTAAAATAATACTACTAAATTCATTTTAGTAGGAAGCCGAAAAATTAAGAAATGTTCAAAAAACGTTTTTTGGGCGGCGATAGATAGCTGCTGGCAAGAGTATGTGGCAAGTCCGAGTAGCAAGCCGAGACCAAAGGAATTAGAAAACTAATACGGAAAAGTCTGTGCCATTCTGTAGCACCACTAGTTTACTTTCTTGTATACTTACATACTGTATGGAGAAATTACAATTATATTGTGACGTCATGGATACTCATAGCTACCACAGACACAGAGCTTTCATATAACAAATATATTTATTAACAAATAAAACAAAACAAATATATACACTTAATAATCTACTTACACCTAGCTCTGAATAGACCTACTATCCCCTGTATCGCCGGAGCGATCCAAACCCGATTGAGATGTTTTGATTGTGCTATTCGCCCTCCTACTTTTGAATGTGCGCACGAAAGCCCTAGCTTCCGTTTACCGGATGTCACGGCTGGGACACAAAAGTCCGTTCTGGCGCACCAACGGCTGGTTTGCCCTCGATCGCAGGAGCGTCTTATCCGATTGAAATCGGCGTGAATCGTGGCATCAACCACTCTTCCACCTCGGAGCAACGCACACAGCATCGTTCCCCCCGTGACCGCAGTCACCAAGGTCCTAAAGTCCGCAGGCTTCTGTCACTAGTTGACTCGAGCCTCGCGAGCCTGGCTTCGCATGATGCACCGTCGTGCGCCAAGTTTTGTGCACACGCACGCAGGTCTCTCTGTCTCCAGAACCCACCACACTGGGTCTCTGTACAATCTGTTATATAGGCGAGGCCCACGTGACCTACTACGTCACGACACCCCCATCGCTTGTTATAAAGTGAAAAAGTTTCCTATAGGCCGGATACTCCCAAAGCCTTGTGTCTTCCGTTTTCCGCGTTTTCCTTTACGGAAAAACCCTACTTCCTGGGCGAGGCTAATCCTCTCCCAAGCGTCCCCAAATAGATGCCATGAGGCACGCTGGCTAATACGTTACAATTTCCCTATTTTAATTTCCCCTTTATTCAGTAATTAAAATGTTACATGGTGGTGTGTCAATACTATTATTTACTACGGTCTCGCCATTTGATATATCAACGTAAGTACCAGCATTAGTAGCCGCTTAACGTTTTAGTCGGAGCCCAACGCTCCTCTCAGAGCGTTGCAAGATATTGTTTGATACCCGCGCGCACTCTTCCCTAATGTCTGCTTCCAAATTGTCCAAGTCATGCGGTTTTCTGGCGTACACTTTCTCTTTCAAAGAATACCCCTAGAGGAAAAAATAGAATGGGGTCAAGTCTGGACTTATCGTTGGGCATTCAAAATTTCCGCACCCTCTTGGTATACGTCACAGTGTAAGATGTATTTCTTACACCGTGTATACGTACAATTACTGACAGCGTATTAGCGTCTGACAGTTCTCTCGCCACTTGCGGAGGTACGTCATGTGACCTGCTCTGAAGAAATCAGCTTACGAATGTTTGTTTACTTTCTCATAGCAAGCGTTCCGCGTTGCCACTCGTGTCGGTCGCCCACTCGATGTTGCGAATGAGCCACCATTCCACTAAATAATGTAAATACTCTGCAAAGAAAAATGTAAATTCTAATGCATATCCTATCGTTTTTTGACTTTCCTTCATTAAGTAGTAGAAGTAGAGTAGGTCTGTGGGTGTGTGCGCGCTTAATATATATATAAATTTCAAAAGTTAGAATGCTGTTTGAAATATGATTTTGCTTCTTTTTCAGTTAAAAGAACATAAGCCTCCAGTGAGAACCCTAGAAAATGAATGTGAAATTCTTATTCGCAAGATGTGACAATATTTATTGAAAAAATTGCCGTTTCTAAGATTGTATGATCGATATCAATGCAGCTGAATTTAGTAATTTAAGAAAGGAACATTGTGTTGGTGCCAGAACCAGTACACAGGTGGAGATTCCCTGTCATGGAGGGAGTCTTCACTGTTTTGTGATGACTAGTCTATATTTATATTATTATGTAATGGAATTTTTGAAATAGTTTATCAAAAGCAATTGTGATTAATATTTGCTTTAAGGACAATTGTAGAGCATAAATGAATTCTGGGCTAAGTGCCAAAATATGAAAATTTTCATTTTGTGCTGAAAAGTGTGGTAAGTGTCAAACAATATACAGTGTAAAATGGGCTGTCTAAAATTCTCATTCTTGGTGGTTTAAATTGTCACCACTAGACTGGGGCATCAGTCAAGTCCCGCGAGCTTTAGAAATAGTTTTTCTTAATTTTCTCAGAATTTAATTGGGCACTTTTCACAGTTTTCACGTACTGCCTACAATTACCTGTGGATAAGAATACAATATTATTCTGGAAGTGATTTCAAACTATTGGAGGACTAATGGTCACAAAAATATAAACGTTTTCTCATTTAATGAAAAATTCACAGTGATGTTTATGGAGAGTTTTGAACCCTTTTATTCTTTGCTTCTTGCCAACATATAGATACACATTATCTTATCCATTACTGCACATCGAGATAGAATAATAGTTGAAATAAAGAACTCAATTACAATCCTATAATATTCCTGTGAATTCTGGAAAATACACCTAAAGTTTTTAATTAAGAAAAAGAAAATCATTTATTATTTAATAATAATAATAAAATGCAATAATTGGCAATCCTTTTTTCTTCAATATTTTTGAACATTTGTTTATATTTTTAGGATTATTTTAATTATCATATATTCAGAATGATGTAAACATCTTGATGAAAAAGTGATGAATTATCTTCATGATAATTAAGACATGTTATTTATAATTCAAATATATGAATTAATGACAGTGTATTTATAGATAATGTATTCTTAATAATTCTGATAGTGTGTTGAGCTTTTAAAACTTCATTTTGAAGGAAATAAATATATATATATATATTGCAAGTTGTAATTTACGTGAATATTCCAAGACATAATGTGAACTACTTAACCATAACGTCAGCCATGCATGATTAAGAGATAAATGTTTGCCATGCTTTACTTAAAGGAAAAACTTTGTATGTAATTTGACTTCTGATGCTTCTGTTAGATTCATTTGTTGAAAAAATAAAGATATTGATACTTTTTAATTATGACATGATCTTATATTTTATTTGTCCATTATTTCAAAAATCTCAATATATACACAACAACATCTGTAATTTGATTGTTATTTTATCATTGCGTAAAGATGTTATCTACAAACGAGTAATAAGTTTTGTTGAATTGAATTCTTTTGTGAATTTTGTATGCCATTATGTCAAAAAAGAAAATGTTTGGTGGAAAAAAGTAGAAGAGAGAGAAATAACATATTATATGTGGAAAGGGTAAAGGCATGTAAAATAATAGGGAAATGGAGATGAAGAATCCTATTCCAAGATATCTTTAGAGATATAAAGAGACTTTATACTAAAAAATATGAGGCTTATGAGAAGAAAAACAGTAGTAATATGAAGTCTTGCAATTTCTTTCATATTACACCTGCTGAGTGAAAGAATCACTAAAAAACATAATCTCAAAATATGGTAACAAATTAAGAAACACTTTAGTGAACAATAATTTTCTGTTGAAATCCAATTCCTTCTTCTTGTAGTAGTAACTCAATTATTGAATTTCATTGTTATCTGTTTACTGATCTAAAATCATTGATTTAAACTGGTTACTAGTAGGAATCAGATTTCAATACAAATTCAAATTTTTCCTCAAATCACAAAGTATGCCCTCTTGCTATGTGCAAGAATAATGCAATTTCCTATGATTTTATTGTGCATATCATAGGTATTTGCCTTGTTTTTTTTTCGTTTTTTTTCCCATAAGCATCATATTTCTGCAAATTGTTATGTATTCTGCATATTTTGCTTATAAATGTTCTTCCTTACTTATTAAAATATAAGTTTAATTTAGAATTTTTAAAGTTTTGATACTGCATACATGAATGTGGAAGATAAAATCAGACCAGATGGCATACCACAAGGAAATTGAATAAAACACTACTCCATCCTTTGGAACAATCCAACTCTCAAATCTAATGATGTGCTGGAAGGAACAAACAGGAAGGACAAACAAGGAACAACACAAATCTCTGACAGTGATGAACTAGACAATTCACTGAATATCGAAGAACTTGAGGCAGTATTAAGAAAAGTTAAAAATAGGAAAAGCCTCAGACCAGATGAGGTCAACACAAAACTCGTAAGATATGGGGGAAGAGTGCTGAAAGAAATGTTATTAGAATTTTTTAACAAAGTATGGTAAGAGAAAACAATTTCAATAGAGTGGCAAGAGGGTTTGGTTATTAACATTCACAAGAAGTGCTCAAAGAAGAAATGCGACAGTTACAGGGGCATTACATTGCTATCAACAGCTTCTAAGCTATATACAAACATGCTAAGGAGAATTTCATGGGAGAAAAGCAGTGTATCAGATTCCGAAAGTTAGAAGCACTAAAGACTCCATCAAATGTTAATAGACAAAAGAAGGGAAAGGAATTAACAACTTTTATAATATTTATTGATTATGAAAAGGCTTACAACAAAGTTAATAGACAAACTCTGGGAAATACTAGAAGAGGAGAAAGTTCCAAATCAGTTGCTCAATGCAAAAGGCACAATCACAAAGTCTCTGAACTCAAGAATTAAGATATTGTTAAGAGAGGGAAGAAAGTCAACATCAATAACAACCAACAGCGGCTTAAGTAAGTATGTGGATTATCATCTATCCTCTTCAACATACATTTTAACCACTTAGTGAGAGTCTGGAGAATGAAAGTTAGACAAGGAATACATATCACAAAAGACAAGAAGATAGATTCAATGTTGTATGCTGATGACCCAACTATCACAATGGATTCTGAAGATAATTGACAAAGAGCTGCAAAAGTTTGAATTGACAAAACTGGCCCAAGAATATTCCATGAAGATAGCAGTACAGAAAACAAAAGGTATGGCAATACAAGGCAAGGAACAAAGGAGAGCCAAAATGGTAATAAATGGAAAATTAGTGAAACAAGTAAATAAATTTTCATACCATGGAAATATCATAAACATATACAACCACTCAGGAAGACATAGAAAACAAACTTAATAACTGCACTAGAATAAGTGAAACAATTAAGAGACACTTTAGCAGAGACATGAATTTGGAAACAAAACTGAAAATCCACAATACATCTGCTAAACCTAGAATCATGTATGGCTTTGAAACATGGGTAATGAAAGAGAGAGAGACAAAAACTACAGGTGGCACATATGAGATTTCTAAGACACCTCATGGGTCGTGGGGGAAACAGCATTATGTAACTCCAAGCTAACGCTGAGTATTACTGCCTCAAACCCTTTCCCAGTGTTTAGCATTATTTATTTATAAACAACCCCTAAGAACTTCTAGGAATTGTATTAAAACATGGTTCTTATATTAATCATTAAATACCCAAGTAGTATTTAGCAGCAGTCATTCCATTGTGGAAAATAATACTATTACTTATACTAAACACTGAAATCCCATTGACTGATATAGCAAGAGTGAAATGCTAGATGAATGGACTGTGGGTATAAATAGTGAGAAACAGTTATATGATCAGTTAACATACTTAGTAAGGCATAATTTCAAATTTTTTATTACATAAAAATAAATTTTCAGATGGTAAATCATAAACTTCTACGCATAAAGTAGATACCTAGAAATAGTATTTCAGAGTTTGTTAGTGTTTGTAAACTCAGTCCCTAGTTATAAAACAATGGTTTAACTTTTACTTAAATGTTTTTGTCAGCTACAAATAGAATATTGGGTAATTTGAAGTCCTAATAGTATTCATGTTCAGTTATTTTATAAAATTTATTTGTTAAATTGACATCACTTCGGGGGGGGGAATTGATTATTTGTACCATTTGATCAAGGCGTGCATTTTTTAAAATGAAGTCTATTATTATACATCAATGAACAGTACATTGTCAATTAATGGGAAAAACAGCTTTTGATATAATACAGAAGACTACCTGACATGCAGAATATGTTGATTTGTTTTATAAAAACAGAACACAGTATTGGGCAGAGTCCACTACTTTGTTTCTACACTTCCTTCTCAATCATATCTCCTTTAATTGCAATCAAAATCCTGGTCCTACACAGCCACACAATATCAAAACCTGAGCGTCCACTATCCTGACACACTGCACTCCTGAAGAAGACGATGATATGAAATGTCAGCATCACCGCCCTCAATGTAGTGTCACCTGACACTGGCGGATCCAAGGGGCGGTGGGGGCACTGAAGTCATGCCCCCCCCCCCAAAAGATGAGAGTTTTCGTTTGTTACCTTCTTTTATTTAGCAAAATTGATTTAAATATTTATTTTACAATTATGTAATTATTTATAAGTAATATTATATAGTACCATATACTCTACAAAAATAATGTAGTATATAATAATAAATGTTTATCTTTCAACAAAAATCTATGATGGCCCCCTCCAAAATGATTGGCTGAATGTGCTCGTCACCTCGGCAGCCAAGAGCTTTCACATCCTTTCTACTTGTTCTTGTCGGCCTTTTTCTTGCATACCTTCTTCTTCATCACTATCTTCTTTCTTTTCCCTTTTTCTTCTCCTCAATTACCCAGTTAATATTAATCTCACATAATAATTATAGGGGTTGCTGCTACATCAAGTGTGTTAATGCATATATGTCAAGCAGGTTGATGATTCAAAGCTTTCATCTAGATATATTAAATAGATAATAAACTACATATTCTAATCGACAGATATTTGGCCTATTTATTTAGTGATTTTTTTAATACTATTTACTTGTAAGAACACAATGTATGACCATTATATGTTTAATTTCATTTTAATTTTTTTAACAAAAGAAGTCATAAAATATAAGTCCCAATTCTGCTGTATTTATTTGAATATATGTGAAGTATTTTTTTCTGTTTTCATTATCTAAAATTAAGGAGTCATTCCACATATTAAGAAAAATACATAATTACAATTTGAGCCAAACATCTGAGAATGAAATTAATAGTCTCAAAAGTTCTCATTTTATAGATGATATGACAAAAATAACTTGATGCTTAACCTCAAACACAAGGTTTGAAAGCCTGAAGGTGCACCATTTTCTGAGTTGAGCATGAAAGATGTGTCATGAAACAAAGTGGATTGTGCATTGCAAATTGCAGTTGTCTCTCCCTGATCAGATAAGTTGTTTCAACATATCCTCCATATTTAAAGTGAAAGTGCAATCCTTCATCTCACTGTGAAATTTTTTTTTTTTACACTCTCTTTCTCATTTGTTAAGATTGGTTGAGTCGTAGACTATGGAGGTACACAGGATATTAAGGAAGTAACAAAATAGTTCATTACTCTATGGTCCAGTTTTGAAAGCCATAAAAGGGGTCATAAGAAAAATAATAAATAATGTTGGGGAACTAATTTCAAATTATACAAATACGGCTGTCTCATAGTTGGGTAAATGAGGTTCTAATTGTAAATAGCAGATTTCGTCACTTTGACAACAGATATCTCTTTCATGGTAAAGCTATGAACATTCCCCTTGCAAAAAGACAGAAATGTTGAATTCAAATTTGCAATCAAGAAAACACTTCATATCTGGGAAGATTAAGAAGGAAGGAAAATTAGATTTTGCTACACAAAAGTCTTCAGGAAATTATGACTGAAGAAAATTTTTATTACATTATAATATGCACAACATACAGACTAGCATGCTGATTTTATAAACTTTTTTCAGTCACTATGAAAATATTTAAAACATCATGTTCTATAACAGATCAGGAACTATTATATATAGGCAGTGTTGGGAGCAGATATATTGACAATACAATAGACCAAATGATAGATACAGTGATTCTTTATAACAAAAAATTCTAAAAACTACTTCAGAATTTTGGATACAGTAAATAATTTTCTTTTCCATATTTTATTTTTTATCACAACTGTGCACTTCACATTTGAATTCATAATTAAATATCAAACTTTAATATAGCAGACATCATGAATTCTAAAAATAAATTGATTCATTTCATTGTTTCTTGTTTGCTTCAACACTGATTTTGGCAAGTAATGTGATTTATATCGATTATCATCTAATAATTAAAATCCTGGGCATACACATTAAAATATTTCTATTAAAAATTGTCAGACAATTATTTTAATAGTAACCAACACAAATTGTTAATTTGGCATTGATTTTTAAATGAAAACCTTGGTTTGGAAAGTAAAGGCACACATTTCTCGGTACAGCTGAACCTCAGTAATTCATCCTGCCACAATTCAAAATGGTGATAATTTTATTTATGAAAAATCTAGAAAACGGAAAAAGTTTTGCGATAAATTTAGAGATTTTCTGAGATAAAGTTGCACCTCAATAAATTTGAAATTTTAAGTTCTACATAACTCAAGATTCGTGATATCAAGCAATTATTATTTTAACACTCCACAGATACTAAGAGAATAAACAACTAGATTAGAATTGAACTTCAACAAGTGTACAATTCAACTTTCTATCATTCATCATTCAAATCACAAGAAACTCAAAAATTTTATTTCTAATCGCATACAAAAATGTTTAAACAATATTTCTAATTATTTATTTTTGAAGTAGCTAAGAGCTGTCCATAACATGCTCATACTTTTTGGTGAACTAGATGATAAAAGAGCAGTCATTCTAAATCTGTATAAATTGAAAAGTATTTTCTAATGTTCAGTATTGAATTAGTAAGGTTCACTGGTATTTGGCCAATAAAATGGCTATTCTACATTGCTACTTGCCAGCTTGGATAATTTAATGGTGCTATTCTTTCTATATTTATTTTGTCACATCACATTATATCACATTCAATCACATCATCAATCATATTCTGCTTAGGCACTACACAGTTTTAAGTCTAATATTAATTATAAATCTTTAACAAAATATATTAATTGAAGGATGGTTTGCCACACTTTAATCGAAGTTACAAAATAGTTGTGGGTTGCGTCTAATTTACAAATGTAATGCTCAATGGCATTGTTTTTTAATCTTTGCTTAAGAGACATATTGTCAAATTTAGTCTCAAAGTTTTCAGTATTATTTCCACTAACAATATTAATGCCAAAACTACACATCAAAAGACTACCTACAAAAAACAACAACAAAATAAATAAAAAAAAAACTGAGGCAGAACTGAACCTGAACACAGTATACCTGATACAAAGCAACTATCTTGAAACTTAAGTACAGAACAAAATATAAAAGGAACTGCTGAATTTTTTGGGTGCTAGTAATACTGATGAGGTGACATTGTGGTTCAAAGACCTCAACAAAAATAAATCTGGAAATGGAAATAATAAATTAAAAATTGTTCGATATGTTTGTGATAGCCGTGAATCCAATGAAGGTCATTACCTTTTGTTTTTAATTAAGGAATAAGAGGGAAGAGAGAAACACCCTGAAAAATTGACACAAGCTATTCCAACCATATTCACTGAATCACTTTTTAACTCTGTCTCCACTTTGCAAACCTAGTACCTTATTATATACAACAATCAATTTTGTTAACAGAAAAATGACATTCGAAATATGGAGAATTTGTTCAAATAAGTAACATAAGTCAGCAGCAAAAATAATTTATGATGTGTGAGAGATTGTATTGTACAAGAAGGCTAATAGTGGTGGCCTACTGTTAAGTGAGTTACTAATCTAATTGGTCAAATTACCCACTGGTAATGGACGTTCTGTGAAGGTTGAATAAAATAATGATTGATGAAAGGAAAGAATTTCAGAATTTGAAATGACTAAAATAACTTATTCAATTGACGATGACAGTGTTTGATGTTACTTCATATGGAGTAAAATAAAAATACTATACTTGTTTCTTTCAACATTCAGAAACTGAATATTCCATAAAATGAAAATCTTTCATTTTCACTGTTCTACTCATTAACACATGTTTATGAGTGAAAAAGTAAATGCCAACATTGAGAGAGAAAATGAATCAGACAATTGAAATATCCCTGTAAATGCTGTTTGTAGGTTGTTTACCTCTTTCTTCTACACTTCATATTACTTACACTTGTCTGAATGAATTTTCTTACTAAAATTTACACATTCAGTGAACTGCAGTTGTCAACAACTGTCATTATTTGTACTGCTGAACTCAGCTCTTAAATAAATAGGTTTTCAGTGACAAGTCATGATTCTCTTTACAATACTTAAATTGAAACTGTAATTGAATAACTGAAACGTCTACATTTATTTGTACATATTCTAAAACTAGAACTATTAATGCATTTTGTTTGTACAATACTTTTAAGTTTTGCCCCGTGATTAGTCTCAATTTTTTGTTTTACACCCACCTCACATTCATATAAATTCTTATATTTGCTGTAACATACATTATTCGTTCCACGCACTTTTACATTTCACTCCTTACTTGCTAATTCTATTATAAATATTATTATGGATTCCTAGCAATACATATTACTTTATTTTCTATTAATGTTTTCCAATTCTAATTTGAATAATATCCGTTTTAAAGCATTTAAACCCATGACAAAATTTCCTAACATTCAAATCACAGAAAAATATCATGGAACATAAATTTTTGTTTCTTTGACGTAAATTTTTTTTTCTTAACACATTTCCCCCCCTTGAACATTAAAGTAAACCAAGGTAGAACTACAACAATACACTAACTTAATCAATTTGCCAGTTGAAATGGCTTTTTGCACTAACTTCATTTGCAAAAGGAATATTTTGTATTGTCTTATTTTGTAAATTACACTTTCTGATGAGTACATTATTTTTAAGAATCAGACTGTGAACCTCTTTGGTAGCAAACCCTTATTCAACCATACACTTTTATTCGGATATGACATGCCATGGTTTCATTTCATTCATACTTTATCAAAATTGAATGTCATAAGTACACATGAATATATATTAATTTAATCATGAACAGCTTCTTAAAATCTGTGCATTTACTTCATGAACAATCCACATAATGCTTTGAAACTAAAACATAAGAGTATTTTCTATCACAATTTTTAAACATTTCTGGAATTGGTGTTATTTATACCTTGCTTTTTCTTCCTAAGATTTTTTTTTCATTGAGCACATAAATCTTAAATATATAATTACATCTAAATGATAATAGAATAATTTGAATTCTAAAAATAACTTAATATATAGTTAATAAATAAAGAAAATGTCGTAAACAGAAATATTAAATAATTCTCATAGACATCTTTGATTACAAAATAGTTTCCTTTCTTTAAAGAAGTCTTACCCCTTTGTAAAGTGATGATATAAAATTTGTTTTAAATAATTCTCAAATTTCTGTAAGTGTCTGTATTTATGTATCAATCATTGCTTCCAAATTGATAAATAAGATGTGAATAACTTCACACCCTAGTTTAAAATTCTCATTACAAATAAAATATGAATAATATAATTACACTGACAAGAGTTTGTGAACTCTAATAATAGTTATTAGAGTTTCATTGCAGAAATTGGTGCTTTCACCCAGTTTCTTTAGAGATCAATAAGATTCGTTTCTTTTACTTGGCTGAAACTTGTTTCAGCCACAGCTTCATCCCCATCATCGTCATCATCAAATGTAGTCCAGGAACTCTTAACTTCTCGTGTGCCTTTGCTATTAGATCCGATTTTCTGTACGTGACTCTGGAAACTGGATGATCTGGGACCAACTGTTCTTGGTTTAGTTGGAGGAGTATCTATGTCTCGTACAGTTCCAGCATTATGTGGAAGGAGTAGAAGAGGATCCTGAAAATCGTCAGAGTTGTTCACAAATAAGGAAATAGAATGATATTCCACAAAGAAATGGTACCAAAATTGAGAGAATATTAACAATAATAAGAGGTGTGGATCCATGGGGAAGGGGAAATCTGCAACAGTTACGTTGCAATATATATATATATATAGATAACACTTAGCACAAAAACAGTGAATTCTAGGACCTTAAAACAAGGTTTGTGTGTCCTCAAAGAAGACTGCAAGTTATATATTTTATATCGTAATTAAAAAAATTAGAGCTTTTTTGACCTGCTAATACATTTTCAGAGTTTAAGCTCTTTTTGAAACCTCTAACCACAGATGGGTAGTTAGAAATATGTAGAATCTCAGATCTGCTGAATTTTTTAAGGAAATATTAGAAGGAAGTACTCAGTGCGCATGTCATATTTACCTTCCCGGTGCGTGCATTAATTTTAGTTTGTAGAATAATAAGTTGTGACCGCCAATACTCATACCTGGGAGAAAAAAAAAGCATTTAAAGTCTTATAAGAATGTTATTTAGTTATATTCTTAATTTAATACATACGTTGCTTGTCTCATTGCATTAACCCATTGTTGAATGTGAGACTCTGAACGTCCCGAAAACACATGTTTCTTATCAGGTTCATCTCGAAATGTGACAGAAAATGCAAATGGTATACCTATTCCCATTTCATATTGGACATTAGAATTTTCAAGAACAAATACTCCAGCAGGCTGTAATAGAAATATAAATGACTTCAATAAGAAAGAAAATATGATGGGCATTAAGTATAATGAGCATTTAAAACAAAATACCATTTATTATATGCCTTATTTATAAGTCTATATGATCACAATCCACTTACCTGTTTATAATCTATTTTACCTAGTTCATTTATGCGAAAATAAAATAAGAGATTAGACTTCAGTTTGAACCATCGTTCTTTAAATCCTATTAAAAAATACAAATTACGTTATTACATCAACGTGAGAGCGGTATGCAATTAACAAAATGTAGTTACGAGAGATATAACACCTGACTGGGTGAAATTTCCGCTTGTTGGTCGACGATGATTCAATCTACCTTCAAGTTCAACAGCACCTACTCCAATTTCGGCAAGTTCTTTATCATTAAAACGCATGTTGAATATTTGTATTCCACTGAGTTGTCACTAAATTACAAATAATATGTCTTTAATGAATATAACCTCTTTCCCACAATTTCAAAATAAGAGCTACTATCAGAATTTGAGGCATTATTTGACAATGACATTTACTCATCTAGATACATAATGAATAGAGAGCACTAAAACTGAGGTTTGTTGTTGATGGTAAAGTCCTATATAAAATTAACAAAACTTTCACAAAAGTACTATAAAATAAACAAATACATCGCCATCTTGGGAGAACTGTCAAATTCTTCGTCGATTTTTAAAATGTTGGCAGAGCTGATTCCTTTTGCACCATTGTCCCCAATACTCGGGATACGAAAAAAAACCTTTGAATTCGTGAGAAAAGTTGCAATAAAGATGGGAAATATTATTTAATAAAGATGTAGGAATTACTTCACGGTGCATTTAATTTGTATATAGCATAAATTGAAGTAGTGATATTACGTAGCATTGTTATTAGGCAGACCCATGTTTTCGATTTGTTAGATTGCTCTATTGCTTCGCATTCGTACCAACTTTTACAAATACTGAAATGAATCAATAGTTTTCATTAATTATTTATACCTTGAATTTACTTCTTATTTGAATTTGACACTACATAATAGATTAACGTTCGAATAAAGGCAATAATAGCAGAAAAGAACTCCACCGTTTTCAAATTGATGATACAGTGTACTGTCTAGTGCTTCTCTCTAGCGAATAGGGTTCGAACTCAGTCGTTATATTTAAATTCCAGAAAATGTCGGGGTGGGAAACGTCTGTTTGAAATCCTTCGCAGTTAGTAACGGTCAAGACATGGTGTGTGCAGAATTAGTTTATTCTTGGATGTAATAACTCTTATTTATTTGTTAAATTCATCTCTAATTTTTAGTACTTTGTGCAATCGTATTGTATGCGCGCACAGGAAACTACTGAGCAGGAAACGACCGTTACAGATCTTTTAGATATTTTATTTTGTATACTTTTTATTTTTGTTATCATTTTTATCTATTTTAAATTTTGAGTGTATATGTTACATGGATTTAAACAGACAATACGTAACGAAATAATAATTTAGATATTGTATTGAGTTCTTGATCGGTTGTAGTGTCCTGGCAGATTTTAAAAGCTGCACGATAACTGTCATATTGGGCGGCTGGGTGACTGCACTTGAAACTTTCGTGACCGGTGTAGTTTGAGTAATGAACATTTTTTTATAAAGTTGAGTGTATGTGTTAAAGAGTGCTAGTTAGTGCAAATCGAATGAAAATGGATGAAGAACGATGTGGACTGAAGACGGGTGCAAGTGTGGATATAAAGCGGACAGACGGTGAGTGTAGACTTGACCACATTTGGATATGCTTGCATGCGTTACCTCCGTGCTTGAATTTGCGTGGGTGTACACCGTCTGTAAAGAAAACCTTCCTAAACGATGTAATATAGTTTCAGTATGTGGCACTTAACCTGATTGTTTGTCAGCTTTTGTTATCAGACACATTCCGTTAAAAAGTTGCGGTTCCTAACCGACCTTTGAAAGCAAAGTAGCCAACGACAAAATCTTGTCTATCCTTGAGTTGTTCGGAAAAAACTTTAATCGTATTGTAACGTGAGAGACCCTTTTGGGTAAATTATTGTCAAATTATGTTTATAGCGAGTCAAACATGATACACGTTGCTTTATTCTCACTCGTTGGTTAATAGTTTGTGAAAGAAACATTAAATTAAGTACATTGGAACAAAAAGTGCATTCTGTCACCATACATTAAATTAGTATGTACATTAAAGTAGGTCTTATTTGATTAATGTGCCATGATAAAATGGAAGAACCTGTAGTATTTTGAATTTATCAAATTTTTGGTGTTAATTTTGTTTAAAGCAGTGCCTAAACAGAAACCTGTACAGTATCTTGAAATATAATTTATAATAATCTTGGGGACACTAAAAAACACACATTCATGGTCTTCATGCTAGCAAAGCTTCTTTTGCTTATGCTTCATTATGTTTTTTGCAGTTTTGTTAGGCGGTATTAGTGTTTTTCTTATAATTTTTGTGTATGGTTAATGCTTTACCTGTAAGGTAGGTCTGATAGATTTCAACTAATATTCATGTTTCTAGGTATAATTGCAGTTATAAAGTATTGTCTTTGTGGCTATAAACAATTTTTGTTACAGTCTAACCTTTTTTGCAGTACATGTTATTACAAAGTAATTTCATGCCAAATTTTGAAGATATTGTGTAGCTTATTGCAATATATGTAATAACAAAAGGATTTTGTCACTGGTTGCTATAGATGACTTGTACATGGTGTGTTACATTGTTTGCTGTGGTCATCATTTAAATTACAAATCTTGTAAATTCTTGTACAGGGGGAAATTTTTAAAATAAATTTTGATATAATGTTAATGGTAAATTTGACAGAAGAAAATAAACTTAAGTTCATGCAATTGTTTGTAATGTTATTTTCATTGATATCATGAGGTTCAGGTAATTGGAAGAATGAGCCACAATTTACTAATGTTAAATAATTGTCATACGATAACCTTTAAATATGTAGTCAAGTGTGTTTGAAGTATTACAGTTTTTATTGAAGACCTTTTCATTATATTAGCCACATTATTAATATTAACCAAAATGGTTATGTTGCTGTGTGAGCACTTAATATTTTAAGAGTAATTAGGCAATACTTAATTTAGTAATTGCTGGTAAACTATGGACTCTTAACATCATGAACATTGGTATTTTGAGAATTTGTATGAATTGTAAACATTAACTTTGTGTTTTGAATGGTGAGTTGAAAATTTATCTAGAATATTCATGATTCATTTAAGTTGTCTATGGAAATTATTTACTGGATTTCTTGTAATATATCATTGTTATAAATGCTAGTAAAATTGATCATTATTGAAGGATGTTTCATTATTATAAAGTAGCAAAATGAACACAGTAATGTATTCGTTTTTTTCTTTCTTTTTTCTTCTTTGGGCACAAAGTGGGCCCCTGACAGTGGGACAGGTCACAAATGAACCTTATATGTAATTTTCTTTTGTAATTTGAGTGAGGAATCTATATTTTAATTGAAAAAGTGTTAAAATGAAATGCTGAATATCCTCTTGTGGTGTTAGCCATTTACTTGAGTAAAATAACAATGCAATTAATCAATTCAACGTATAGTATTATAGGACTCATAATAAATGGGCATTGCAAGTATATCTTTCATTAGCTCTGGACTCTTTCCATAATTCAGTGGGAAAGACTGTTGCCATACGTTGCTGTATTGAGTATCTTAGATTGCATGTATTTGAAATGCTTAACATAGCATTGAGTGGAATATTGAGTGTTCATGTAGTAACATGCATTTTACGCCAGCCGTAACATACTTAAAATGTAAATTATTCGGACATGTATGAAAAATACGGGCGCGTTAACATTAGTTAAAATAATCTTATTATTTACATATCCCAAATTAAACTTTTGTTCTTGTAGAGACGAAAGCAATTCCGCTCTAGTTGTGCACATGAGTGTGAGATATTTCTTAAGATGATTCTGCATTTTAGAGACCATAAGTTTGCAAACGCATGGATTCGGCCCCTCGGTAGGGTATTAGTATGAACTCGCAGGAGCCTGGGATCACTGGTGGGTATCGGGGAATTTCCCTAAAGCAATGTATGCCGCCGCCCCCTCAAAAATAGACCTAGTTTTCATTTACCTTCCTTTATTTGGCACAATTGATTTAAAAATGTTCGAATTATGCAATTATTTAAACAATAATATTGTATACTATCATATCTACAGTACATAAATAATATACATTATAATAACGATTGTTGATTATTTTAACAAATATGCGATACCAGCCACCCACTCGCCCAAAGAAAAAATATCGGCTGGATCCGCCCCTGCTCTAAAGAATGTGATGAACCAAACATATAGAAGCTGGTTCTCAAATTCATCTCTTATTTTGTCTCGCATAGTTTATTGTTCATTTTCACTTGCGTTAATTATTTCACTAGTAATCGTGAATAATTTCGCCCCATCACTAGTAATTGTAAAAGCTATGGGAAGGTATCTACCCGTACGTTGTGATCGTTTGCGAAGCTCGTCTCGCCCATTAAAAGCACTATTTAAACGGCTTGCAACAAAGTCCTTTCGTTGCCTTACTCTGATCTCATTTTCGAGGCGATCTCCAATGCTCAGAAGCAAATTCGTGGATGCGGCTGCTCCAAGCGCGGCCCGAAGCAGAGCGGGCGCGGGTCGAGCCCCGCGGGGGTCCGGAGGGAAGAGGAAGAAGCTGAGGAAGGAAGCGCGCATCCGTGCGAGAGGCGCCGAGTTTCTCCCGGTGCTGCGCAACGCCCTCCGCCCACGTCCCCGGCCCGCTTTCCTTCGGGGGCGGCGCCGCCCGGCGCGCGCCACCGGTGCCCCTCCCCCCGGCTTGCAGAATCTTAAGCCCCCCACCCCCCTACCAACGTCTCTCGCCCCTGGTTGCTTTTCTTCCTAGCCGCACTCCCTCCACCTGGCTTGGAATCCCTAGGGCCTAGGTGGTATTGCGTTTGTCCCCTTGGCCGTGTGCCGTTGTTTGGCTTTATTTCCCTTTCGGCCGGCCCCTCCTGCCCGTTTTCTGTTTCTCTTTCAGCCTTGGCCCCTTCGTTGATAAGTTTCCCTTTCGCGGTCCGCGGCTCGGCGTTGCGAGGTGCCCGCTTCACTTTCCTGTTCGCTCATCACATGTGCTGGGTATTCCTGTTTGTATTGAATGAATTGCTGGTCATTCAGTTCACATTCCAAGACGCCTCTGATGGAAGGAAAGGCGTGTTAGGTAGGGATACCGATAGGAATAAAATAAGTGTCAAAAGCTTTCAAGAATAGTTGGAATCTCGAAACTTACAATAGATCTCGCTTAGTTTTATTACAATGTATGGGTATGGCTATATATTATGACAAGTATAGATATTTGAAGGATGATTCTATATGTTATACTTTTTTTAACTTTATTTTGAGATGGTGCATGTCATAATAGTTGGCAAATAATTCTGAAATGAGGTAATTATAGTGACAATAGAAAGGAAGGGCGAGTTTTATAGTTCCCCCGGTGCAGCTGTTTCGAGGGCGGGGGGAGGAGCTGGCGGCGTCGTGCAGTCGATACACCTCGCGCACGGGGCAGGCGGGAGCCGGGGCCGAGGCGTCGGGGCGGAATGGCCTTCATTAATGAGCGGAGCGGCTCGTTATCCCGCGACCGCAACCGGCTCAGGTCAAACGCCCCCGCCGCCGCCTCCTCGGCTGGGCGGACGCCTTCATTTGCCTTCTCCGCGAGGGAGGAGCGTTGTCGATGGATTCCGCAGTTTTGTAGGTTCGTTAGGTGTTCGGTTGGAAGAAGGCTTTCATCGGATGGAAATGGCCCTGCGTCGTCGGAAGATGAAACGGTTGGGCGCTGTTAACTGTTGCTTGGGGACGAGGGAGGCGCTCGGAATCGACCGCGAACGTCCTGCCCGCGATCACGCGAGCGGCGCTTCTCCGAAGGGGAAACCCCGTGCGTAGGGCGACGGGGAGGGGCCGTTCACGAAACCCAACAATTCCTCTTTCGTTCGACGCGGAGGCTTTCTTCCACGTGACTGACAAGGGGTCTGGAGTGGTGTCTGGGTATTTGCAGCTTTTCTGTACTGTGGAAGTTGACAACGTGTTCCACATTTCATTCCAACAATTCGGGAAACAGGATTCAGTCTCCATGTTTTATCTTGTTCTAGGATGATTGAGTACGTGACATTTGAAACTTGGTGTTGCGCGAGTCTGCATTATTATTGCTATTGTACGTGGAGAAACGAGCTTTCGAATCTGAAAGGTTGACGCGATTCGTCGCCGGCCTGAAAGGAATGACCGGAGCGACTTCTTTGATAATGTCTGTATTTAATATTGTTCATACGTACAACTGCTCGGATTTTGGATGTAATTTCTGTATGATACTGAATTGTACTCGAATGTTTTACATCGTTGTATGCAGCAGGGAGCTAGAATGTTGTCACCGCTTTCTTGCGAAACCGCGCGGAGTATTGTGACAAGTTCCTACTTTCAATGGCTAGCCTGTGGGCAGGGCAGGAACGGGCTGGGCTGGGCCAGGCACGTCTCGCGGCGCTGCCCCACCGCATCCGCCGCCGCCGCCGCCGTCGTCGTTCCGGT